CCAGGTGCTGGTGCTTCACACTTTAATCCAAGTACTGGAGAGTCAAACACCTTTAATCCCAGCCCTAGAGGGAATATAAAATTGGAAGAGAGAGGGGCTCTCTCTGCCTAGTCTGCTTAGGGTGCTTAGTCTACAGTCACCCAGTTTTGCTAGAGGTAAGACTTCTCTATTGGCTTGACTGTTTTTCTTTTCTGGTTTGTAGAACCTCAATATGGTTCTCTATTTTCTTATTTGTACTGGAAGGACCTATTTGGGGCTTTAATCTGTCCAACAGATTAAAATGAAGTAGAGAAAACCTATAATATAGAATATAGATAATATAGTTCATGTAAAGTGGAAACAGAAAAAAATCTGCATATTACAGAACCTCTTTTTTAAAATTCCTCTATGATGAAGTAAGTCACAAAACAAAGCAATCCCACACCAACTCGGAATTAAGATTAATAAAAGGGTTATTTATTTAAAAGGAAAAACTTACAGATCACCGTCCTAGACAACAGCCTCATGCAGGACCAGGAAAAGCATCTGATAGCCAGAAGTGGAATCAGAAGCAAGCAAGAGAGTGAGAGGGCTGCCGCTGCTTATTTTTAAAGTGAAAGACACCACACCCCAGTGGGCATCAAAGGCTATTGGCTGACGGAGCAGAAGTAGCTCCTGCAGCACCTCTAACAATGAATATAAGAACCTCAGCCTTTTATCTCAATTCAAGAAGCAAAATTGTTCTGGAGAGAAGTCTCAGTCCATTAAGTACCTGCCACATAGCTGTAAAGACTTTATCTCATCTGTAACACTTGAGAAGTGGGAACAGCAGTACAGGACTGTAATTTCCATGCTGACCTTGGCAGAGATAGGCACTTAACCAAACTCTTCTGCCAGACAACCTAACTGAATCAATGAGTTCCAGTTTTGATGAAAAATTCTCTTTCAAGAAAATCAGTAAGAGACCTATCATGGTTAGGGTTTCTATTGCTGCAACAAAACACCCTGACCAAAATGCAAGGATTTATTTGGTTTACACTTCAAGATCACAAGCCTTTATTGGAGGAAATTGGGACAGGAATTTAAACATAGCAGGAACCTGGAGACAGGAGCTGAAGCAAAAGCCATAATGTTGTTTACTAAGTTGCTCTCTATAGCTTGTTCAGCCTGCTTTCTTATAGAATTCAGGACCACCAACCCAGGGATGGTTCCATACACAATGGTTATGATGGTGGTCAAATACATCTCTCATATCAGATCCCTTGCTTTTGCTCTCACCCTACTCTCTAGTATTGTAAAACACCATAAGTTTTAGCTTTAAATTAAGATTAGAACACTGTATAAATGAATAGATAAATCTTTAAAAAAAGATTTTCAACTTAATAATTACAGGAGGCAACAAGTGACAGCGTCTTCATGAAAAACAGAATAATCTACTGAGCTCTTTGAGAAGTTACTAACTTACAAGTGAGAGAGACTTTTATCTCTAATACCTTGTTAGTGCCTTATGACAATATACTGCATTTTCATGCCACTTTTAAATTTTTTGAAGACTTCTCTTGATTTATGTGTATGTGTCTGTGTGTGGGGATATTTCTATTAATGTTCATTACATTGTAAAAAGAGCTGTATAAGTACAATGACTTGGGGGCTGGAGAGATGGCTCAGTGGTTAAGAGCACTGACTGCTCTTCCAGAGGTCCTGAGTTCAATTCCCAGCAACCACATGGTGGCTTACGGCCATCTATAATGAGATCTGGTGCCCTCTTCTGGCATGCAAGTAAACATGGAAGGAATGTTGTATACATAATAAATAAATAAATCTTTAAAAAAAAGTACAATGACTTGAACAAGAGTAGAAATGTATGTACAGTATGTTATTACAAAATTAATCCATATTTGTATCAGCATACAAAAATCCAATCCAATGTAAAATATAAAACTAGTAGTTGTTTTTTAGAAGTAGACTCAATAATTTTCCATTTTATCTTATCATATCAATATCCTTTACTTTTTCTCCTCATATTAGTTTTAATAATCTACCTTTATATGCTATCCTATCTATATTCCCCTTTTTTCTTTTCACAGCAAGAACTCTGAATCTAATCTCCTTTGTTTAGTTTATTTCATGACAATTTGTAATCAATTCCTCTAAACAATGAAAAATATTCATAACCAAATAAAAGATCAAAAACCACCACCCCATTTCTTGGGAATGTGAGCATCATATTCTTAAATATTTTTCCTGCTGTCTGAGGGCAAGAGAATCTGTAAGGAATCTTGAAAAGAAAAGTTTGGATTACTTGTCAAGTTCAGAGAGAGGTAGATCTATCATCTCTTGTCCACTCTCTGCATAATGAGAAAGTACAGGGCTTGTCTCAAGTCCTGGCTAGAGTAGCCAGTGAGGCTGGGTCATCTCAGCTGGCCAACTCAAAATTGTTCTGAGCAGTTTGTAGTTGAAAATCAATTTTCAGGAGGTGGTTTTCAGCTTAGTGATGTGATCATAGTCCTGTTGGAATTGTAGTTATAAGGCACAATTATTTGGGAGACTTGAAAGATCAGTTAGGTGTACACTTGGTTCACTGCTAAAAAACTAATAGAGACTCAAACCCAAAGTCATGTACAGGAATGTAGGTGAAGCTTTTTCCTAGTATTAGTTTGTACTCTATATGACCATTAATATCATGACAAAATGTTATATATATATATACATGTTAATCTTTAAATTTTGAGTTAATTTTGCACTTAAGCAAAGCTGTTAAGGAGTAATTATAAAACCAAAAAATTTTGAGATTGAGAGAAAATAATCCTTCAATTTTTGTTTTTCTTCTATTCCATATCAGGTGGCTCTTCTGACATGAGACAGAGATATTGAATTTTTCTTTACCAAACATGCTTGGGTTTAGACAAGGAGAGAGACACATCCAATTTCAAAGCCAGATTTAATATTTAATTGGATTGGGAGAATTTGCATTATATGTCTGTAGAGAACAGCAGAAACAAGAATTTGAGAAGAGTTATAAAATTTTATCTTATTGGAAATGTGATATATCAATAGTCCAATTTATTCTTTTTCTTGGGGAAATAATTTCTGAATGATTTGTCCTTTTTTCACATGTCTCATTTGTTTAGCAGTTTCCAGATTCTTCAGCTGGATGCCTTTACTCTCCTATAAAGACAAAAACAAAACCCTTCCAATGATATCTCTGGGGAGATTCCCTTTTGGCAAGTTATAACTGATCAAATGAAAAGCATTTGTTAGTTTTATAGGCTACTTTAGATTAAATGGCCTTGCTGCTTGATAGCATATCATCTATTCTAATTGAGAGGATTCTCCTATTCAAATCAGATCTTTAATAATTTTGATAGTATTCATAGCATTTCTTCATTCTGAGGTCAAAACATCTTTAAAGTATACAGGCTGATTTAATTCTATAGTTTTCTTCATTATTCAATGTCTCTTGAAAGCTCTAGTTCATTTCTCATTAGCATCTAGAAAATTCAGTTAACAAACAATTAAGTAATCTATTTCCAGGGGTCTTTATTACCCTTTTCTATTTATTTAACATGTCCTTTAGAGCTCTATTTGATTTTTCTATGAGCTCTTGATATTATTCGTGATTATTTCTTGTAATGGAATGAATAATAAGTTCAAATCTGTATCATCTGGTATGAATTTAGCAGTTTCAATATGTAGAACAACTCTTTCTGCATATTGCAAATTAGTAACTTTGTTGAGAAGTTCCATAAAATCCATTAATAACATCAGAATAGCATGTAATTCTGACTTTTTGGCAGAAAATTAGGGCTTTAGATCTACTTTACTCAAAATTTCTGATTTATAACTTGCCTTTCCTGATTTATTTGCATCAGTGTAGAATTAGGGATTTTAGATATTGGTGTTCTCTGTACAATGTGAGGACAGAATCAGTTATTTCTTTTAATAGGTTAAATTATCTTGCTTTTGGAGTATTTGTTGTTAATGCAAACTCTTTGACAGGGTTAACTTTCTTCCCATAATTTGTCAATTTTACCATTCTATTCCTGTTAATTGACAAAGTCATAATTTCCTTTTAGAATTAACTCAGAAACCTTTCCCATATAAGCTTTTAATTTTTCACTCAGTTTATATGGTAAAAGGATCCATTCTAAGATATGTCTTTCATATATATTGCAATAAAATTTTTGTATGGGAATCTTTAGAAGGTAATACGAGCAAAGCATAGTTAAACTTCAGATCCACATGATCCACATGAGCATTCTGTAATTTCTTTTCCACCACAGTCAATTCCCTGTCAGCATCAACTGATAATTTCCTGGGGCTATTTAAGTACTTGTCATCCTTGAAGGTTTTGATCAAATTACTCACTTCTTCAGGATTTACCCCATAGTGGTTTGTAAATAGGAACTGTCTCCTAGCAATCTTTGAAAGTAAAAGTCTGCAATTAGTCTCTCCTAATTTGTACTTTATATGGTCTAATTTTTGTAAACCTATTTTATCTTTTTAAAAAATATTTATTTATTATGTATACAGTATTCTGTCTGTGTGTATGCCTGAAAACCAGAAGAGGGCACCAGATCCCAATACAAATGGTTGTGAGCCACCATGTCGTTGCTGGGAATTGAACTCAGGACCTTTGGAAGAGCACACATCCTCCAGCCATCTCTCCAGTCTCGTAAACCTATTTTGTAACCTAAATAGTTATTACAATTTCCTCTTTGTATTTTTTAAGAGCAATTTGAAATCTCCAATGAGGCAAAATATTCTGTCCTCTTCAAACATTCTTTCTGAAGTATTTATATTTGAATCTGCTAATAAAAATTTATACATGGGATCCTGGGGCCACCCGAGTTAAAGGGGGGAAAATCCGGGGGCTGCCACTGGCCCGGGCCCAGACGGGGGTTCCCCCCCTGTAGTTGCCACAGTCCCGGGGAGAGGCGCCCGCCCCCTGCTGGGGGGGCGGCGCCGCGGGCTCGGGGAGCACAGACGGCCCCTACCCATGAGGCCCTGATGGAAAACACAAAGGATCTGAGTCGGAAGAGACACTAGAAATCACCCAAAGCAGCCGCCCCTGTCCAGCTTCCGACAAGTGACAGAACATTCTTCACAATCGAAAAGAAAAAGAAGACTCGTTCGGGATGTTTGACGGCTATGATAGCTGCAGTGAGGACACAAGTAGCAGCTCCAGCTCCGAAGAGAGTGAAGAAGAAGTTGCTCCTTTACCTTCCAATCTCCCAATTATCAAAAATAATGGACAAGTCTACACATACCCAGATGGTAAATCTGGCATGGCTACCTGTGAGATGTGTGGGATGGTTGGTGTACGAGACGCTTTTTACTCTAAAACAAAACGTTTCTGCAGTGTTTCTTGTTCAAGAAGTTACTCGTCGAACTCTAAGAAGGCAAGCATTCTGGCCAGACTTCAGGGTAAGCCTCCAACAAAGAAAGCAAAAGTCCTTCAGAAACAACCTTTAGTTGCTAAATTAGCTGGCTATGCTCAGTATCAAGCTACCTTGCAAAATCAAGCAAAGACAAAAGCAGCCGTCTCCGTGGAAGGCTTCAGCTGGGGTAACTACATCAACAGCAATAGCTTCATAGCCGCTCCAGTTGCTTGTTTTAAGCATGCACCTATGGGGACCTGCTGGGGTGATATCTCAGAAAATGTAAGAATAGAAGTTCCCAATACAGACTGCAGTCTACCTACCAAAGTCTTCTGGATTGCTGGAATTATAAAATTAGCAGGTTATAATGCCCTTTTGAGATATGAAGGATTTGAAAATGATTCTTCTCTGGACTTCTGGTGCAATATATGTGGGTCTGATATTCATCCAGTTGGTTGGTGTGCAGCCAGTGGAAAACCTCTCGTTCCTCCTAGAACTGTTCAGCACAAATACACAAACTGGAAAGCTTTTCTAGTAAAGAGACTCACTGGTGCCAAAACGCTTCCTCCTGATTTCTCACAAAAGGTTTCAGAGAGTATGCAGTACCCTTTCAAGCCTTGCATGAGAGTAGAAGTAGTCGACAAGAGACATTTATGTCGAACAAGAGTAGCAGTGGTGGAAAGTGTAATTGGAGGAAGATTAAGGTTAGTGTATGAAGAGAGTGAAGATAGAACGGATGACTTCTGGTGCCACATGCACAGCCCCTTAATCCACCATATCGGATGGTCTCGAAGCATAGGCCATCGATTCAAAAGATCTGATATTACAAAGAAACAGGATGGACATTTTGATACACCACCACATTTATTTGCTAAGGTAAAAGAAGTAGACCAGAGTGGAGAATGGTTCAAAGAAGGAATGAAATTGGAGGCTATGGACCCATTAAATCTTTCGACAATATGTGTTGCAACCATTAGAAAGGTGCTGGCTGATGGGTTCCTGATGATTGGGATCAATGGCTCAGAAGCAGCAGACGGATCTGACTGGTTCTGTTATCATGCAACCTCTCCTTCTATTTTCCCTGTGGGTTTCTGTGAAATTAATATGATAGAACTGACTCCACCCAGAGGTTACACAAAACTTCCTTTTAAATGGTTTGACTACCTCAGGGAAACCAGCTCCATTGCAGCACCAGTAAAACTATTTAATAAGGATGTTCCAAATCACGGATTTCGTGTAGGAATGAAATTAGAAGCTGTAGATCTCATGGAGCCACGTTTAATATGTGTAGCTACAGTTACTCGAATTATTCACCGTCTCTTGAGGATACATTTTGATGGATGGAAAGAAGAGTATGATCAGTGGGTAGACTGTGAGTCCCCTGACCTCTATCCTGTAGGGTGGTGTCAATTAACTGGATACCAACTACAGCCTCCAGCATCACAGTCATCAAGAGAAAGCCAGTCAGCCTCTTCAAAACAGAAGAAAAAGGCTAAGTCCCAGCAATACAAAGGACATAAGAAAATGACCACATCACAGCTGAAGGAGGAGCTGCTAGATGGAGAGGATTATAGCTTCCTCCAAGGAGCATCTGACCAAGAAAGCAATGGCTCTGCCACCTTCTACATCAAACAAGAGCCATGAGGTGGCTCAGAAACGAGGAGTGGGAGGGACTGTTTCCAGGACAGATTTGCCGTCATTCAGCTGTCCAGCAGGCTCTTCTACTGGAACATTTTGCTAAATACAGAAAAGTTCAGTTCCGGATTTTTCAGGTGGGGGGGGAACTATTTTGGTGGGGAGGGAATTTTTCAATTTATAAAGATGGACGATTTTTGTGTTGTATTTGAAGCTTTTGAAAGAATTTTGTAATATTTTCCAAGTTTGGATTTATGTGCATTGTTAACAAGAACTGAAATTCTAACTTTTTTGGTAAGATTAAAGTTTAGGTAGCAGGATTGAAGGAAATGATTAAGAAGGATATAGTTGTAAATGCGAATGAACTGTCATTACAAATGAACCTTCTCGGTACCTGTTGGGAGATTTTTGAATTTTAGAGTTAGGCCAGTCACATCTCCAGCTTCCTTTGCTGCAGAAATATGCAACTGAACCCCTCACAGAGGGCTCATCACCATGTAGATCACGGACGGGGTCATTAACTGTGCTCGCTGACATTTTATTGCAGCCCATTTAAATGTTTGTACAGAAATTTTTTCATTATGCTAAAATTTATTTGGAGTCGTATTTGAAACTAGAACTCTGGATACTTTTATATGCTCTCCTTCAAGTAAAAATGATAAAGTTTTCTAACACTAGAGTGTTAAACTGGAATGGTTGACAGATACCAGGATCTCAGTCTACATAAGAGGAAAATAAATATTTTCCCAAGTTTATTCTGTTTTCCTTGCTAAAGAATAAAGAACTTCCCATGAAAGGGATATTCTTATCAAACCTCTGCCATTTCCCTCCATCTGAGAGAGAGCAACTTGATGTAACCACCCCTGAAAACAGATGTTCTGTATTACCAATAGAATCAGATAAAAAAAAAATGTTTAGATTTCAGATCATTCCAGCTCCACTTTTAACTGTCCTGGATTTGTTAGAAACTTACTGAAAAAAAAAAAACAACTTAATTTTCTTCAAATTCCACACACATACTGACTTACCTTTAATTGTAGGCAGAATTTATTTTAACAATAACTGATTTGGACCATTTTAAACATTCCCTATTTTAAAATTCATATGACTTCCTTTAAAAGATAGGATAAAAGGGTAAATTGGTGAAAGGTTTGCTCTCTGCATTTTTCTACCCTTCTACCGAGTTGTGACTGAATGAGTGCTCTAGAGTTTACCAGTGAGGTTCATAAACTAAACTCTCAGGAATTCATTGCATCTGTTCTAGAAGTGCTTCTGGGTCTGAGCCTGGCCTCTTCAGAGTGGTAATACTGCCCATCTCCTCTGGAAAATAGGCAGGGCTAATGAGAAATTAATCAAAATGATTAATCTCTGCAGCCCCATAGCCTATGGAATGCTTTAAAAAACGCTAATGGAAAACCCCAGGAGACATTTTAGGTAAGATTTTTGTTTGACTTTTAAATGCATAGAACGTTAAAAACCAGCAATTTATTTTCTAAAATATTGCTCTACTTTTGGGAATAATAGCATTGGTAATATGCACAGGTTTACCTCATTCTATGCAAGAGGGGTTAATAACGTAAGGTTTTGTAGTAGCTACTGGAAGTAAAATGTGTTACTTTATAGTGTAAAAATGTATGGAATCGCACGTCACCATTTCTTAATACTGACTCTGGGGGCTAAATGCAGATCACATCAATGCAAATTGAATCTCGTGTCAAATATATGTGAATTCAGCTGTAAAATTACTGGATATTTATCTTAAACAACATTGCTGAGGGGGACCTACTGCAAATGTGACATCCTCGCACTTCCCAAATCTTTGAAGGATCTTCCTAGGAACTTAAAGCCTAGAAGAGGTCCAAAGCAAATGTTACAGTCTTTATTCTCAGGCTCAGTGGATTAAATCCAGGACTGTGCTTCCATGGTACCAGCACAAGAAGCCTGTTGTATGGGGTGCACTCCTCATAGCTTCGGTGTAGGAGTTCTCCAAGGAACGAATTGTAAGCCAGGAAAGATGTGATTTCATGCCAGCCAGTCCTGGTAATTAGTTCTGTGAAATGCTTATTTGTAGCCAGGTTCTACAAGCTTCCAATTCTACACCAAAACCAGGCTTGGCATGTTTAGAATTCCCCACCTACATTCATTAAGTGTTTATGTTCACCAAGAGTGAGGGGTTGTTCGGACTTATTAGATAGAGTCTAAACACAACCCTCTTCTTTGTTAAGACCCTCACTCCTGCTGCTAACAAAGAAAGTTAACCAGAGGAGACTTCCATTGTAGCCATAATTAGTGTACCCCTGTTCTCTTTCAAAGTTTAAAATGTACTGCTGACCTTGGGTTTGTTTTTGTTTTCCTGTTAGGAGCCTGGGAACTTTTAGTAGTTTAAACTTTTTAACCTTTTCCTTGCTGTGTATGAGGAAAGCTAAAGCTGTTATCAACTTTTTATTCTGCGGATACTAACACGGGTTTTCAGTGTTTGTTTGTTTTTATTATTATTAATTTTGTGTGATGTGAATACCCTCACCCATCAATATTTGTATTATGGTGCTATATATTTGATAATGATCCTTTAATATTGGGGAGGGATTTTAAAAATACTGTGATTAAACTGGGTATCTTCCTTTGATTTTCATATTTTAAATAAAGCCACAGTCATTTATACAAAATAAAATAAAATAAAATAAAATAAAAATGCATCTGTCCCTGGGCAGCTTTTCAAGGACAGAGGCCAAAGTAAAGTACATAAGGTTTTTACATCATTTCTGTGTGCGTTTGATATATAGATCAATATCTGGACAAATTTAATCTTTTATTTTCTGGTAACTTGTGATCATTGAGGAAGTGTTTGAAGCTTTCTCATGAAATGTACATAGCGTGAAAAATCCCTTCAGAGAAATTTATGTTCCTTTCATTTTTACCAAAATGCAAATTTTCAGCATGGATGTGAAAAGCATTAAAATTATAACTTTGTGTACAAGATGAAAATAATTCACTAAATTTGCCCTTTTTTACACAAAATAAAATGTTAAAGTTGAAAAAAAATTATACATGGAATGGTTAATTATAGATTGAGAAAATTGCTTACATATCATTTTAATAACTGACTTACAAAATATTGGCACAGGGTTAGACTGTTTAACATTTCCTGTGGGAGAATCTTCCATTGATATCTCTTAGCAGACTGAAAATTATTATAAGTCGGTACACTAAGTAAAAAAAAAAAAATCTGTCTTTTTCTTCTAAAGGTATAGTGAATAAACAATGTTTTAAATCTATAACTATAAGAGGACATACTTTAGGCAAAAGAGAAGGCAACGGAAATCCAGAAGGGAGCCCATTGGCTGTATCACCTTATTAACAGCTCTCAGAACTGTTACCATTCTACCTTTATCCAGATTTCTTTTTAGTAACAAATACAGAAGAATTCCAAGGACTGGTAGAGTCTTCAATATGCTTAGCATCTCGTTGTTTCTGTACCAGCTGTGCTAAAGACTACGGTTTCTTTATTGTTAAATGTCACTGCTTAACCAATACTGGTTTGTCTGTTCACTATTTTAAAGGTAGGGCTGTTGGTGCCTTTGAAACATCAGCAGCTGTTGTGCCCTGACCTTGTTCAACCTGCATGGTTCTTTATAAAACCATTTTCCAGAAAAATACATTAATTTAAGGTTTGTTTCTAAGATGGTGGGAATAATCATCTGATTATTCCACTGCTATAACAAATCACATTCCCAAAAATTCATTGCTATGTTAGCTACATAGGGCTTTAATTTTCCTCTCTGTTATGGTCCTATACATTTAATCTCTCTCAGACTCTGTTTTACCTGAGATAAAGTTCCATTACCTAAAAACTAAATATTTACATCCTGAAGAGGCCAATTTGGAAACCAAGATACTGTTGAAATAATTGTTAAATCTGCATCTGTGTCTACTAAACCTTCAATGACAATGTAATTTATTCATACATATTTTTAATTTTGGACTTTTTTCACTTATATATATTTTTAAAGCTACTCACTTTATTGTTTTTCCTGAATTTTTTGTTCTCTCTTTTACAGCTATTCTACTATCTAGAGCAGTATGTTTTTATTACAATAGACATTAGGCTCTTTCATTCCTCTGTGAATAAGTTCCCTACAAAATGACAGGAAAAAACTGAACTGAATTTCAAAAAGAAGTCTGTGAGAGGCCCCTCAAGGGGTTTCCTGACAGCATCAGGTTACCTTGAATGTCCTTTGTATCTACATTCATTAGTCCAATACCTGCCTTTGCCACGCCTTCTGCATAATCCAGAAGGGAGGGTCATTCTCATCAGATTTTGCTTAGAAAAACATTGTTTCTAGAAATTCCCTGTTTGCAATCCCTTTTAATGTGACCTTGTTTGTCACAATTAAAACATTCGACATTTAGATTTTTTTCTGAAAACCTCTGGAAATCACAACTACTATCCAAGCAACATCAAGGTCATGAGATTCAAAATTGATTTATTTTAGATTCATTCTTCCAAGGGTGCTGATCTTACCTTTAACTGCCTAATTACCCTTTTACTTTGTGCATTACCATTTTTAAAAGTCACATATTCAATTATCATTTGTGTAGTTTCTGAATTTGGTATCATTCTATTTACTACTGATGTCAGTCTTTGTAAGAAATCAGTGAAGGTTCTTTTCTGGGCCCTGTATGACCTTTGTAAATGACTCAATCTTCTTTCCCACTCTTCAGTTCTGTCCCAAACATTCAAAGTTGCCAAATAGCTTAAAGCCAGGATATGACCACCATATAGGTATTACCTTTCTATATCAGCATAATCTCCACTTCTAAGAAGTTAATCATGGGAGATTTTTGTACCTCTAGATCTACTCCACTGTTTAATGATTCTAGCTTCTTCTTTATACAGTACTCCATTGTAATTGTGGACCATGCTCCATGATTGCTGTAAACAAGTCTCTCTAGTCTTGGGAATAATTCTATTACAAATTGACCATGAATTTAGCACATGCTTCACAAATGGTGAACGCCATGATTATGGTGTAAGGTG